GTGTAATAGTGTAGTTTATAGTAGTGTATAGTAATCATGTAGTGTATAGTGTCGTGTATAGTGTATAGTAGTGTATAATGTAGTGTATAGTGTAATGTAGTATATAGTGTAGTGTATAGTGTAGTGTATACATGCATTGAACGTATCATAACGTATCATATTCTACTGTACTCACCAAGATTCATGAAACACACAAACACAGAGACAACTGAACTCCGTCTACCGCTGCCGAGAGTGAGAGGCATTGCCACACAAGGCGGGAGATGCGTTCAGTAACGCGAAATGTAAAACATTTAACCATTTTGCCATATCGATATCGGATCATCGTAAGCCGGGGACTTACCTGTATTTGTAACCACTCCACACACAGTTCAAGTTAATTTATTTCAAGTTCATGTATTAGGTGTAGCCCTGTGAGCCATTCGGCTCTTGAATCGGGTGCAACCGCAACAACAAAAAAACATGAACAAGAAAACATCTTAAAGTGACTATGTGACTAAGTGCAAACAGAAAATCCAAGAAAAGACAGCAAAATATTGCAAGAAAAAAATCACAGTACCCCAACGCTGTGTGCAAACATCCCAGTAGGATGCAAGTCAAACAACAACCACAAGACAACTTAGATTAAGGCCATCAGTCTAACTCTGTACTACAACAAACAAACATGGCTAAACCAATACACTTTTCGAAATCACCAAAATAAAGCCATGAAAGCAATGAAAAAGCAATCATAGGAACTGTGACGGAATTTTCACAATAGCATAAACAACACGTACTACCAAAACTTTGCAGCCATAGCTGGCTGCATGAGCCACTCCACAGCAGCATGAGCATCCACACACAGTGACCTAACCACTGCGCCACCGCTCCCCAGTCAACCTGGTACCCGATTTATCGACCGGTTCGGCTCACCGTGGTTACATGTGACGAGGTGGTGGTGGAGAGGCAGCACGAAGTGGAAGAGTAGGCCAAGTGTGCAGAGTTTGTGCATCGTCATGAACGACCACACAGACCCACGTGTTGTAGCTTCCCGAGTGACGTGGAGAGAAAATCGATTGGGACGTTGAGAATTGATTCTTGCAGAGAATTGGACGAAGTCAATCAATTCCGATTGGAATTGCATTGGAATCCAGTGGTAGCGAGTACGGTAGTATAATGGAATCGAATACCTTTTCGACAACATGGGAATCTACTGTGGTGATTTGTTGATGAAATCGAATCCCATGGGGATAACATGGGAATCGATCTTGCTAGTGATTAGAGTGGATGGAATCGAATCCCATTGGGATAACATGGGAATCGATCTTGCTAGTGATTAGAGTGGATGGAATCGAATCCCATTGGGACAACATGGGAATCGATTGTGGTCGTCTGTGGGTCTTTGGATGCGTCTCTGAGTCTCTGAGTGAGTCTGAGTCTCTGAGTGAATCTCAGAGTGAGTCTCAGAGACTCACTGAGTGGGTCTCAGTCACACTCACCACACGCTCACTCACTCATCCGCTCACCCGCTCCTCATCCGCTCACCCGCTCAATCATCCGCTCACTCATCCGCTCACCCGCACGCTCACCCACTCCTCATCCGCTCACTCATCCGCTCACCCGCACACTCACCCACTTCTCACCCGCTCACTCATCCGCTCACCCGCACACTCACCCACTTCTCACCCGCTCACTCATCCGCTCACCCGCACACTCACCCACTCATCCTGCTCACCCGCACGCTCACCCACTCATCCACTCACCCGCACGCTCACCCACTCCTCATCCGCTCACTCTTCGCTTACCCGCACACTCACCCACTCATCCGCTCACCCGCACGCTCACCCACTCATCCACTCACCCGCACGCTCACCCACTCCTCATCCGCTCACTCATCCGCTCACTCATCCGCTCACCCGCACGCTCACCCACTCATCCACTCACCCGCACGCTCACCCACTCCTCATCCACTCACCCGCACGCTCACCCACTCCTCATCCGCTCACTCATCCACTCACCCGCACGCTCACCCACTCATCCGCTCACCCGCACGCTCACCCACTCCTCACCCACTCCTCATCCACTCACCCGCACGCTCACCCACTCACTCATCCGCTCACTCATCCGCTCACCCGCACACTCACTCCTCATCCGCTCACTCACCCGCTCACCCGCACACTCACCCACTCATCCGCTCACCCACACACTCACCCACTCCTCATCCGCTCACTCATCATCCGCTCACCCGCACACTCACCCACTCCTCATCCGCTCACCCGCACACTCACCCACTCCTCATCCGCTCACTCACCCGCTCACCCGCACACTCACCCACTCATCCGCTCACCCACACACTCACCCACTCCTCATCCGCTCACTCATCCGCTCACCCGCACGCTCACCCGCTCATCCGCTCACCCGCTCACTCAACCGCACACTCAATCATTCAACCGCACATTCACCCGCTTCTCAACCCGCACACTCAAGAGAGCATGTGGTGCAGTGGCAGTCACCATCAGCAGTGGGAGAGACAAAGGCGGCCGGGAGTGGTTGTGGGCACACCGCGCCCCCGCGTGCCACAGTGCCGCCCTTCAAAAGGGCTCAAGGCACTTGCCCTTAGAGTCTGCAGAGGCGGCACGGGGGATCTGTCTTCTTCTAGATTTGAAGCTTTCGTGACTGCAAGGATTCATATTCTTAGGTTTTTTCCGGTAAAGTCACGTAGGTAAAAAATTAAAATTAATAAAAATAAAATAAAAGCTTGTGTTGCCTCCGAAACGTCGTGATTTTTATTTTATTTTACTTTTATTAATTTAATTTTTTTACCTACGTGACTTTACCGAAAAAACCTAAGAATATGAATCCTTGCAGTCACGAATGCTTCAAATCTAGAAGACAGATCCCCCGTGCCGCCTCTGCAAAATAAAATAAAAATCACGACGTTTCGGAGGCAACACAAGCTTTTATTTTATTTTACTTTTATTAATTTTAATTTTTTACCTACGTGACTTTACCGGAAAAAACCTAAGAATATGATCTGTCTTCTATTGCACTGGTCAACAACAAAAAAAACTAAAATTCTGGCCTGGACTTTTGCAGCTGTTCTAGACTAATTTCAGGGTGCTGATTCCAAATCTGATCTCAGATTTGCTCTATCACATCTAATTTTTATGCTATCGGCATACCCCATTTTCATTGATTTTACCCGAAATTAACTCCGTCACTTATGATTGCAAGTTGTTGCGAGTCAGTGACTGCTTTAGTGTTAAAATATGGTGTATGGTGCTGTATTTTTAGGATAGTGCGTTTATAATATCATTTTATGTAGATATCCACATTTATTTAATATTTTTCTTCCGCAGTTTTTATTGAAAATGCAATCTTTGATATCTCAAAAACCTGACATGATAGACAAAAACTGATGCCAGATTTGGAATCAGCAGCACCCCACAATTACATTAAAACCGTTGGAATACCTCATGCCAGAAAAAGTGTGTTGACCAGTGTTGTCATTGCAGTGCGTATTTAATGTGGCGCTGCACTCTGATGTCGTAGGAGAAAACATTTATTAAAAGTCTATTTAATTCAGTAGAACGTGTCGTCTATATTAATTCAAAGTTGCGCATTTGGATGTGACGTCACATTTCTCAACCCCCCCCCCCCCTTGTCACACATAGTCACAAATGTCTGACCCCCCCCCCCAGGTGCGTGACGTCATTTATGGACGGCCCCTTCGTTTACCAAGTAGGTTTTCACTATACCAATCCATCAAGGTTATTTCCTGGGTTATGCGTTCGAACCCAAAATGGCCCCCTTCATTATGGGTTCGTGGGCTGACAAACGACCCTGACAGACTGTAGGGGCAAGCGCTGTTAGCGAGTAGCAGCAAAACCTATAAAGGCTGGAACGGTACACGAGGGGGTGTGCGGCCAACACCACGTCCGACCGCCTTTGTCTCCCCAGTGGCGATGTTCACACATCGCACCAGGTACTTATTTGAGACCGAGTCGACTTAGGGGAGGCCCAGGACCGGTTCAGATAATCGTCACTGGTATTAGCAGTGAGTGGGAATTGAACCCGGGTCGCCGGGTTCGTAGCGCAGCGTAGCGATAACCGCTACACCACCGCTCCCCACAACTCTGACACACACTGACACACACAGTGGATTCATAATGGCCGTGTCTCTCAGAGGGTTCACAAAGGCAGTCTCTCTCTCAGTGGATTCATAATGGCCGTGTCTCTCGGGGGATTCACAATGGTTAAGATGGAGACATCCGAGATCCTGGGTTTCCAGCCCTGGGACAATGTGTACAAGCAGCATCTCCTTTGGCCGCGCGTGTGTCTCTTCAAGGAGGGACAAACAGACCGCCCGAGGCAACGCAATCAACGGGACGTAAGAAACAAAGACGGCCCGGTCAAGACGGGGAAACGTTTTAATGTTTGCATTCACGCTCTCGGGCATCGCGGCGAAAGGGGTGAGAAGTGGCGATTCACGGACCGCCCTTAAAAGCTGGGGGCTATGATCAAGTGCTTGGAGCCAACGGGGAAAAACAAACAAAAACGGGGGTCCAAATTGTCCAACGGTGGCTTCTCCTAATACAAGTTTTTATTTATTTAGGTGTTAGACCCCTTATCAGTGTCTACACCCAGACCTGTCAACCCCTAATCGTACTAACTCCACTCACTGTTATCAGGCAAGCTACTTCACGTGAAACTCAGTCTGGTGATCGTCTGCACCTTCATTGGTGTCCACGCCTTAGTAATTGAGATGTTAACTACCTCACCTGTTATACAGCCTTGGTAATTCAGATGTTGACTACCTCACCTGTTACACAGGCCTTGGTAATTCAGATGTTGACTACCTCACCTGTTACACAGGCCTTGGTAATTCAGATGTTGACTACCTCACCTGTTATACAGGCCTTGTTAATTCAGATGTTAACTACCTCACCTGTTATACAGGCCTTGGTAATTGAGATGTTAACTACCTCACCTGTTATACAGGCCTTGTTGATTCAGATGTTAACTACCTCACCTGTTATACAGGAGGCCGTGGCTTCGACCCCGACCCTGACGCTGCCTACTGCTGTATAGCTGGAGTTGCCAATGCCGGTTGTAATTACCGGTGAAAGTCTCTCGGTGTCTTGGGGGTTCTCACTTTCTTGGGTTTCTCTCTCAGTTCCTTGTGCTTCTCTCCCGGCTCCCAGGGGGGCTCTGCGTCGCCGCGCCGCTGTGCTCGCCCCGCATCGCCTCCTTCACCTGCGCCGGCAGCGACTCGAACAGCTCCGCCTCCACCAGCAGCCCCCCGCGCCTCAGCTCCGCGCACTCCCCCAGCTCGGCCGGCAGCTCCGTCAGCCGGTTCCCGGCCAGCTCCAAGCGGCGCAGCCTCGACAGCCTCCCCACCAGGCCGCTCAACTCGCGCAGCTCGTTGTTGGCGAGCGCCAGCGTCCGCAGCCCCTCGCAGCCGAACAACTCGTCGGGCAGACTCTGCAGGGCGTTGCCCGACAGGCGGAGGGTGCTCAGCCGAGTCAGCTGGCGCACCTCGGGCGGCAGGGTGACGATGGTGTTGCTGCTCAGGTCTAGCACCTGCAGGCCGTGCAGGCGGAACAGCCCGGCGGGCAGCTCGCCCCCGATGAGGTTCCCGTCGAGGAAGAGCGAGCGCAGCGCCGCCGCGGCCGCCAAGCGCGGGACGCTCGCGAGGGCGTTGTCCGAGAGACGCAGGATGGCGAGGCGCTTGCAGGCGGCCGCCGGCAACATCGCCGCGTCGTCGTCGCCGTCTCCCGGCGAGCGGAGGCCGTTGCGGGAGAGGTCGAGTTCGCTGAGGCGTCCCAGCGCCAGCAGGGGCCGCGCGAGCTCGGCGGGCTCCAGGCCGCAGCGCGTCAGCCGCAGCGTCTCCAAGCCGCACAGCTTGCTCAGGGGCGCCAGCGACTCGAGGCGCGCGCCGCCGTTGTCGAGGGCGAACGAGCGCAGGCCGCCGGCGGCGCCGGAGGCCAGGCCGGGCGGGAGGCGGGCGACGCTGGTGGTCAGGCGCAGGCCCTGCAGGCGCCTGAGGTCGCCCAGCGGCTTGAGGAGCGCCGGCGTCAGGGGCCCCTCCAGGGACAGCTCCTCCAGGTGGCGCATTTCACGCAGCCAGCCCGGGACCTCCGCCTTGATTGCAAACTTCACCTGCGAGCGGGCGCCGGACCGGAGGGGGGGGGGGCGCACGGTGAATGTCGGTCCCCGACATTGTGACTCATACATTTGGTGGGGGAGGTGAGTTTTTGGCGATGTCACGGCCGGGATCAGTGGAGCCGAATGGACCGCTCAGACCGAGCCACCCACCCACCCTCGCGCCCGCCCGCCCGTCCGTCCACCCACGCACCTCCAGCTGGTGCAGATCCTCGCTGAGGAAGGCGAGTGCGCGATTGTCGACGCCCACGGTGCAGTTCAGCAGCCGCAGCTTGTGCAGATTCACCATCTGCACCACCGCCGCCCCCAGCGTCACCCCGTGCATCGAGTCCAGCGTCAGCACCTTCGGTGGGGGATTGGGTACGAGGGTGAGTGAGTTGGTGGGCGAGTCGGTGTGTGGGTCAGTGGGTGAGTGAGTTGGTGGGCGAGTGGGTGTGTGGGTCAGTGGGTATGAGGGTGAGTGAGTTGGTGGGCGAGTGGGTGTATGGGTCAGTGGGTATGAGGGTGAGTGAGTTGGTGGGCGAGTGGGTGTGTGGGTCAGTGGGTATGAGGGTGAGTGAGTTGGTGGGTGAGTGGGTGTGTGGGTCAGTGGGTATGAGGGTGAGTGGGTGGGTGGGCGAGTGGGTGTGTGGGTCAGTGGGTACGAGGGTGAGTGAGTTGGTGGGCGAGTCGGTGTGTGGGTCAGTGGGTGAGTGAGTTGGTGGGCGAGTGGGTGTGTGGGTCAGTGGGTATGAGGGTGAGTGAGTTGGTGGGCGAGTGGGTGTGTGGGTCAGTGGGTATGAGGGTGAGTGGGTGGGTGGGCGAGTGGGTGTGTGGGTCAGTGGGTACGAGGGTGAGTGAGTTGGTGGGCGAGTCGGTGTGTGGGTCAGTGGGTGAGTGAGTTGGTGGGCGAGTGGGTGTGTGGGTCAGTGGGTATGAGGGTGAGTGAGTTGGTGAGTGAGTGGGTGTGTGGGTCAGTGGGTATGAGGGTGAGTGAGTTGGTGGGCGAGTGGGTGTGTGGGTCAGTGGGTATGAGGGTGAGTGAGTTGGTGGGTGAGTGGGTGTGTGGGTCAGTGGGTATGAGGGTGAGTGGGTGGGTGGGTGAGTGGGTGTGTGGGTCAGTGGGTACGAGGGTGAGTGAGTTGGTGGGCGAGTGGGTGTGTGGGTCAGTGGGTGAGTGAGTTGGTGGGCGAGTGGGTGTGTGGGTCAGTGGGTACGAGGGTGAGTGGGTGGGTGAGTGGGTGTGTGGGTCAGTGCGTGAGTGAGTTGGTGGGCGAGTGGGTGTGTGGGTCAGTGGGTATGAGGGTGAGTGAGTTGGTGGGCGAGTGGGTGTGTGGGTCAGTGGGTACGAGGGTGAGTGGGTGTGTGGGTCAGTGGGTATGAGGGTGAGTGAGTTGGTGGGTGTGTGGGTCAGTGGGTGAATGAGTTGGTAGGTGAGTGGGTGTGTGGGTCAGTGGGTATGAGGGTGAGTGAGTTGGTGGGTGTGTGGGTCAGTGGGTGAGTGAGTTGGTGCGTGAGTGGGTGTGTGGGTCAGTGGGTATGAGGGTGAGTGAGTGGGTGGGTGAGTGGGTGTGTGGGTCAGTGGGTATGAGGGTGAGTGAGTTGGTGGGCGAGTGGGTGTGTGGGTCAGTGGGTACGAGGGTGAGTGAGTTGGTGGGTGTGTGGGTCAGTGGGTGAGTGAGTTGGTAGGTGAGTGGGTGTATGGGTCAGTGGGTATGAGGGTGAGTGAGTTGGTGGGTGTGTGGGTGTGTGGGTCAGTGGGTGAGTGAGTTGGTGGGCGAGTGGGTGTGTGGGTCAGTGGGTATGAGGGTGAGTGAGTTGGTGGGTGAGTGGGTGTGTGGGTCAGTGGGTGAGTGAGTTGGTGGGTGAGTGGGTGTGTGGGTCAGTGGATGAGTGAGTTGGTGGGTGAGTGGGTGTGTGGGTCAGTGGGTATGAGGGTGAGTGAGTTGGTGGGTGTGTGGGTCAGTGGGTGAGTGAGTTGGTAGGTGAGTGGGTGTGTGGGTCAGTGGGTATGAGGGTGAGTGAGTTGGTGGGTGAGTGGGTGTGTGGGTCAGTGGGTGAGTGAGTTGGTGGGCGAGTGGGTGTGTGGGTCAGTGGGTATGAGGGTGAGTGAGTTGGTGGGTGAGTGGGTGTGTGGGTCAGTGGGTGAGTGAGTTGGTGGGTGAGTGGGTGTGTGGGTCAGTGGGTGAGTGAGTTGGTGGGTGAGTGGGTGTGTGGGTCAGTGGGTATGAGGGTGAGTGAGTTGGTGGGCGAGTGGGTGTGTGGGTCAGTGGGTGAGTGAGTTAGTGGCTGAGTGGCTGTGTGAGTTGGTGGGTGCATGGGTGTGTGGGTGGGTGAGTTGGTGAGTGAGTGGGTTGGTCAGTGAGTGAGTATGTGTGTGCGCGAGTGGTTGGGTGGGTGTGCGGGTGAGTTGGTGGGTAAGTGGGTGTCTGGGTGAGTGGGTGGGTGAATTGGTGGGTGAGTGGGTGTGCGGGTGAGTTGGTGGGTAAGTGGGTGTGTGGGTCAGTGGGTATGAGGGTGAGTGAGTAGGTGGGTGAGTGGCTGTGTGAGTTGGTGGGTGGATGGGTGGGTGAGTGGCTGTGTCCACGGGCACCTGTATCTGAGTGAGCCGGTATGTGTCCACTGGTGGGCGAGTGGGTGTGTGGGTCAGTGGGTGAGTGAGTTGGTGGGCGAGTGGGTGTGTGGGTCAGTGGGTACGAGGGTGAGTGAGTTGGTGGGTGTGTGGGTCAGTGGGTGAGTGAGTTGGTGCGTGAGTGGGTGTGTGGGTCAGTGGGTATGAGGGTGAGTGAGTGGGTGGGTGAGTGGGTGTGTGGGTCAGTGGGTATGAGGGTGAGTGAGTTGGTGGGCGAGTGGGTGTGTGGGTCAGTGGGTACGAGGGTGAGTGGGTGGGTGAGTGGGTGTGTGGGTCAGTGGGTATGAGGGTGAGTGAGTTGGTGGGTGTGTGGGTCAGTGGGTGAGTGAGTTGGTAGGTGAGTGGGTGTATGGGTCAGTGGGTATGAGGGTGAGTGAGTTGGTGGGTGTGTGGGTCAGTGGGTGAGTGAGTTGGTAGGTGAGTGGGTGTGTGGGTCAGTGGGTATGAGGGTGAGTGAGTTGGTGGGTGAGTGGGTGTGTGGGTCAGTGGGTGAGTGAGTTGGTGGGCGAGTGGGTGTGTGGGTCAGTGGGTATGAGGGTGAGTGAGTTGGTGGGTGAGTGGGTGTGTGGGTCAGTGGGTGAGTGAGTTGGTGGGTGAGTGGGTGTGTGGGTCAGTGGGTGAGTGAGTTGGTAGGTGAGTGGGGGTGTGGGTCAGTGGGTATGAGGGTGAGTGAGTTGGTGGGTGAGTGGGTGTGTGGGTCAGTGGGTGAGTGAGTTGGTGGGCGAGTGGGTGTGTGGGTCAGTGGGTATGAGGGTGAGTGAGTTGGTGGGTGAGTGGGTGTGTGGGTCAGTGGGTGAGTGAGTTGGTGGGTGAGTGGGTGTGTGGGTCAGTGGGTGAGTGAGTTGGTGGGTGAGTGGGTGTGTGAGTCAGTGGGTATGAGGGTGAGTGAGTTGGTGGGCGAGTGGGTGTGTGGGTCAGTGGGTGAGTGAGTTAGTGGCTGAGTGGCTGTGTGAGTTGGTGGGTGCATGGGTGTGTGGGTGGGTGGGTTGGTGAGTGAGTGGGTTGGTCAGTGAGTGAGTGTGTGTGTGCGCGAGTGGTTGGGTGGGTGTGCGGGTGAGTTGGTGGGTAAGTGGGTGTCTGGGTGAGTGGGTGGGTGAATTGGTGGGTTAGTGGGTGTGCGGGTGAGTTGGTGGGTAAGTGGGTGTGTGGGTCAGTGGGTATGAGGGTGAGTGAGTAGGTGGGTGAGTGGCTGTGTGAGTTGGTGGGTGGATGGGTGGGTGAGTGGCTGTGTCCACGGGCACCTGTATCTGAGTGAGCCGGTATGTGTCCACTGGTGGGCGAGTGGGTGTGTGGGTCAGTGGGTGAGTGAGTTGGTGGGCGAGTGGGTGTGTGGGTCAGTGGGTACGAGGGTGAGTGGGTGGGTGAGTGGGTGTGTGGGTCAGTGCGTGAGTGAGTTGGTGGGCGAGTGGGTGTGTGGGTCAGTGGGTATGAGGGTGAGTGAGTTGGTGGGCGAGTGGGTGTGTGGGTCAGTGGGTACGAGGGTGAGTGGGTGGGTGAGTGGGTGTGTGGGTCAGTGGGTATGAGGGTGAGTGAGTTGGTTGGTGTGTGGGTCAGTGGGTGAATGAGTTGGTAGGTGAGTGGGTGTGTGGGTCAGTGGGTATGAGGGTGAGTGAGTTGGTGGGTGTGTGGGTCAGTGGGTGAGTGAGTTGGTGCATGAGTGGGTGTGTGGGTCAGTGGGTATGAGGGTGAGTGAGTGGGTGGGTGAGTGGGTGTGTGGGTCAGTGGGTATGAGGGTGAGTGAGTTGGTGGGCGAGTGGGTGTGTGGGTCAGTGGGTATGAGGGTGAGTGAGTTGGTGGGCGAGTGGGTGTGTGGGTCAGTGGGTATGAGGGTGAGTGAGTTGGTGGGTGAGTGGGTGTGTGGGTCAGTGGGTATGAGGGTGAGTGGGTGGGTGGGTGAGTGGGTGTGTGGGTCAGTGGGTACGAGGGTGAGTGAGTTGGTGGGCGAGTGGGTGTGTGGGTCAGTGGGTGAGTGAGTTGGTGGGCGAGTGGGTGTGTGGGTCAGTGGGTACGAGGGTGAGTGGGTGGGTGAGTGGGTGTGTGGGTCAGTGCATGAGTGAGTTGGTGGGCGAGTGGGTGTGTGGGTCAGTGGGTATGAGGGTGAGTGAGTTGGTGGGCGAGTGGGTGTGTGGGTCAGTGGGTACGAGGGTGAGTGGGTGGGTGAGTGGGTGTGTGGGTCAGTGGGTATGAGGGTGAGTGAGTTGGTGGGTGTGTGGGTCAGTGGGTGAATGAGTTGGTAGGTGAGTGGGTGTGTGGGTCAGTGGGTATGAGGGTGAGTGAGTTGGTGGGTGTGTGGGTCAGTGGGTGAGTGAGTTGGTGCGTGAGTGGGTGTGTGGGTCAGTGGGTATGAGGGTGAGTGAGTGGGTGGGTGAGTGGGTGTGTGGGTCAGTGGGTATGAGGGTGAGTGAGTTGGTGGGTGAGTGGGTGTGTGGGTCAGTGGGTGAGTGAGTTGGTGGGCGAGTGGGTGTGTGGGTCAGTGGGTATGAGGGTGAGTGAGTTGGTGGGTGAGTGGGTGTGTGGGTCAGTGGGTGAGTGAGTTGGTGGGTGAGTGGGTGTGTGGGTCAGTGGATGAGTGAGTTGGTGGGTGAGTGGGTGTGTGGGTCAGTGGGTATGAGGGTGAGTGAGTTGGTGGGTGTGTGGGTCAGTGGGTGAGTGAGTTGGTAGGTGAGTGGGTGTGTGGGTCAGTGGGTATGAGGGTGAGTGAGTTGGTGGGTGAGTGGGTGTGTGGGTCAGTGGGTGAGTGAGTTGGTGGGCGAGTGGGTGTGTGGGTTAGTGGGTATGAGGGTGAGTGAGTTGGTGGGTGAGTGGGTGTGTGGGTCAGTGGGTGAGTGAGTTGGTGGGTGAGTGGGTGTGTGGGTCAGTGGGTGAGTGAGTTGGTGGGTGAGTGGGTGTGTGGGTCAGTGGGTATGAGGGTGAGTGAGTTGGTGGGCGAGTGGGTGTGTGGGTCAGTGGGTGAGTGAGTTAGTGGCTGAGTGGCTGTGTGAGTTGGTGGGTGCATGGGTGTGTGGGTGGGTGGGTTGGTGAGTGAGTGGGTTGGTCAGTGAGTGAGTGTGTGTGTGCGCGAGTGGTTGGGTGGGTGTGCGGGTGAGTTGGTGGGTAAGTGGGTGTCTGGGTGAGTGGGTGGGTGAATTGGTGGGTGAGTGGGTGTGCGGGTGAGTTGGTGGGTAAGTGGGTGTGTGGGTCAGTGGGTATGAGGGTGAGTGAGTAGGTGGGTGAGTGGCTGTGTGAGTTGGTGGGTGGATGGGTGGGTGAGTGGCTGTGTCCACGGGCACCTGTATCTGAGTGAGCCGGTATGTGTCCACTGGTGGGCGAGTGGGTGTGTGGGTCAGTGGGTGAGTGAGTTGGTGGGCGAGTGGGTGTGTGGGTCAGTGGGTACGAGGGTGAGTGGGTGGGTGAGTGGGTGTGTGGGTCAGTGCGTGAGTGAGTTGGTGGGCGAGTGGGTGTGTGGGTCAGTGGGTATGAGGGTGAGTGAGTTGGTGGGCGAGTGGGTGTGTGGGTCAGTGGGTACGAGGGTGAGTGGGTGGGTGAGTGGGTGTGTGGGTCAGTGGGTATGAGGGTGAGTGAGTTGGTGGGTGTGTGGGTCAGTGGGTGAATGAGTTGGTAGGTGAGTGGGTGTGTGGGTCAGTGGGTATGAGGGTGAGTGAGTTGGTGGGTGTGTGGGTCAGTGGGTGAGTGAGTTGGTGCGTGAGTGGGTGTGTGGGTCAGTGGGTATGAGGGTGAGTGAGTGGGTGGGTGAGTGGGTGTGTGGGTCAGTGGGTATGAGGGTGAGTGAGTTGGTGGGCGAGTGGGTGTGTGGGTCAGTGGGTACGAGGGTGAGTGGGTGGGTGAGTGGGTGTGTGGGTCAGTGGGTATGAGGGTGAGTGAGTTGGTGGGTGTGTGGGTCAGTGGGTGAGTGAGTTGGTAGGTGAGTGGGTGTATGGGTCAGTGGGTATGAGGGTGAGTGAGTTGGTGGGTGTGTGGGTCAGTGGGTGAGTGAGTTGGTAGGTGAGTGGGTGTGTGGGTCAGTGGATATGAGGGTGAGTGAGTTGGTGGGTGAGTGGGTGTGTGGGTCAGTGGGTGAGTGAGTTGGTGGGCGAGTGGGTGTGTGGGTCAGTGGGTATGAGGGTGAGTGAGTTGGTGGGTGAGTGGGTGTGTGGGTCAGTGGGTGAGTGAGTTGGTGGGTGAGTGGGTGTGTGGGTCAGTGGATGAGTGAGTTGGTGGGTGAGTGGGTGTGTGGGTCAGTGGGTATGAGGGTGAGTGAGTTGGTGGGTGTGTGGGTCAGTGGGTGAGTGAGTTGGTAGGTGAGTGGGTGTGTGGGTCAGTGGGTATGAGGGTGAGTGAGTTGGTGGGTGAGTGGGTGTGTGGGTCAGTGGGTGAGTGAGTTGGTGGGCGAGTGGGTGTGTGGGTCAGTGGGTATGAGGGTGAGTGAGTTGGTGGGTGAGTGGGTGTGTGGGTCAGTGGGTGAGTGAGTTGGTGGGTGAGTGGGTGTGTGGGTCAGTGGATGAGTGAGTTGGTGGGTGAGTGGGTGTGTGGGTCAGTGGGTATGAGGGTGAGTGAGTTGGTGGGTGTGTGGGTCAGTGGGTGAGTGAGTTGGTAGGTGAGTGGGTGTGTGGGTCAGTGGGTATGAGGGTGAGTGAGTTGGTGGGTGAGTGGGTGTGTGGGTCAGTGGGTGAGTGAGTTGGTGGGCGAGTGGGTGTGTGGGTCAGTGGGTATGAGGGTGAGTGAGTTGGTGGGTGAGTGGGTGTGTGGGTCAGTGGGTGAGTGAGTTGGTGGGTGAGTGGGTGTGTGGGTCAGTGGGTGAGTGAGTTGGTGGGTGAGTGGGTGTGTGAGTCAGTGGGTATGAGGGTGAGTGAGTTGGTGGGCGAGTGGGTGTGTGGGTCAGTGGGTGAGTGAGTTAGTGGCTGAGTGGCTGTGTGAGTTGGTGGGTGCATGGGTGTGTGGGTGGGTGGGTTGGTGAGTGAGTGGGTTGGTCAGTGAGTGAGTGTGTGTGTGCGCGAGTGGTTGGGTGGGTGTGCGGGTGAGTTGGTGGGTAAGTGGGTGTCTGGGTGAGTGGGTGGGTGAATTGGTGGGTGAGTGGGTGTGCGGGTGAGTTGGTGGGTAAGTGGGTGTGTGGGTCAGTGGGTATGAGGGTGAGTGAGTAGGTGGGTGAGTGGCTGTGTGAGTTGGTGGGTGGATGGGTGGGTGAGTGGCTGTGTCCACGGGCACCTGTATCTGAGTGAGCCGGTATGTGTCCACTGGTGGGTGAGTGGGTGTGTGGGTCAGTGGGTATGATGGTGAGTGAGTAGGTGGGTGAGTGGCTGTGTGAGTTGGTGGGTGGATGGGTGGGTGAGTGGCTGTGTCCACGGGCACCTGTATCTGAGTGAGCCAGTATGTGTCCACTGGTGGGTGAGTGGGTGTGTGGGTCAGTGGGTATGAGGGTGAGTGAGTAGGTGGGTGAGTGGCTGTGTGAGTTGGTGGGTGGATGGGTGGGTGAGTGGCTGTGTCCACGGGCACCTGTATCTGAGTGAGCCGGTATGTGTCCACTGGTGGGTGAGTGGGTGTGTGGGTCAGTGGGTATGAGGGTGAGTGAGTAGGTGGGTGAGTGGCTGTGTGAGTTGGTGGGTGGATGGGTGGGTGAGTGGCTGTGTCCACGGGCACCTGTATCTGAGTGAGCTGGTATGTGTCCACTGGCACCGCTGCCAGCTTGGAGAGATGCAGCTCGCTTTCCGCCCTGCGCATTGATCGCCAGCAGCCCCGTCAGATGCGACAGGGTCCACGCTTGGTCCACGTTCACCTGCCTCAGCTTATTTTCACTCACCTGGAGCAGCAGCAGCAGCAGCAGCAACAGCAGCAGCAGGAACAGCACCAGCAGCCAAGCGCGGATGGATTTGATTTGTTTCAGCAGCGAGGGCCCATGACGGTAAAGACGTTATACGCATGTAGTGAGCGACTTCCGAGACACATCGTGTAGAGGCCTTCTTATTTATTCTCACACTGGACGATGCAGAAATATCAACGTCTCCACGTAGCTACACATAGCCTACCCTTCTACACAAAACCATCGTCGGCGTCCAACTGCACGGTTATTTGACTAGCGCAGCGACAGCGACGGTGAGAGCCCTGCAGGAGATCGGCCACGACGAAGAGAGATGACGGCGAGCGGCGACGCAGCCAGGACCCAAGACCCGCAACAGCAGCGAACCTTCTCTGGTTCGGTCCCCCTTATATATGTAGTGACATAAGAGGGGAGGGGCTGCTGGGGGCTCTGGGATCCTAGGCAAATAAGCCCTTGGCGCCAGGCGCTGGGATCCCAGGCACCCCAGACAGCTAAGCCCTTTGGCGCCACCAACGGGGGGGCTGTGTGTGCTCTGTGGGATATCTGGGGGCGCACACAGCCCCACCCCTCGCTGGGGACGAGTCATAAAAGGGCAGCTCCCTGGCCGATCAAGGCCAGTCGCAGCTCAAGACCCGAGACCCGCCAGCCAGCCAGTTAGGACCCTGGACCCCCTCGTCCCGCTTCTCCTTGTAAGGGCCGGGACGCTGTGCGGGCCAGTGGTGGGACTCTGGGACTCCCGGCTCTACGTCCTTGTAAGGGCGAGTTCCGAGGAAGCCAGAGTCCAGACCCGCACCTTGGCTCGGTCGGGTCAGATAGCCTCCCCTAGGGTAGTTGTAGCCGGAGGACCCCAGAGCGTAGCCAGAGTAGTGTATCTAGGCTGTGTACCTAGGCTGTGTATCTAGGCTGTAACAGAGTATCAGGACTGTTGGAGTGTTGTATTGTAATAAAGAAGTTACCTCTACAAGTGTCTCCGGAACCCATTATACGCATGTAGTGAGCGACTTCCGAGACACATCGTGTAGAGGCCTTCTTATTTATTCTCACACTGGACGATGCAGAAATATCAGCGTCTCCACGTAGCTACACATAGCCGACCCTTCTACACAACCCCATCGCCGGCGTCCAACTGCACGGTTATTTGACTAGCGCAGCGACAGCGACGGTGAGCGCCCTGCAGGAGATCGGCCACGACGAAGAGAGATGACGGCGAGCGGCGACGCAGCCAGGACCCAGGACCCGCAACAGCAGCGAACCTTCTCTGGTTCGGTCCCCCTTATACAGTGATACCTCGGTTCACGAACTTAATTCGTGAAATGACTCTGGTCGTGAACCGAATTGGTCGTGAACCGAGGCACATTTTCCCATAGGGTTCAATGTAAATTCGGTTAATCCGTTCTGACCTTTTTTTTTGGTTTTTGAAGCACAAAAATATGAAACAAATGACAATACACATTACTGTAGTACTGTACAGTATAGTAATGTATAAAGAGAGAACACTAACCTTGCTTGAGATGACCTCTGGCATGGAGGAAGGCAGGTGGGAGGCGGGTGGGAGGCGGTTATTGTTTGGAGGGAGAGTCCCCCTCCATAAGGACATCAGGGGGATCTCCTTCAGGGGTTTCCTCTCTCCATCGCTCGGGGTTTTTTTATTTTTAGGTGAAGAGGGATGACTGTCACAGCTGGCGCATGTGTGCCTCTCCGCTCATTCCGGGGTGCGCGCGCGTGCATGCGCGTGCGTGCGTGCGTCCGCGCGCGCGTGTGTGCGCGCGCGCGTGCGTGCGTCCGCGCGCGTGCGTGCGTGCGCGCGCGCGCGTGTAGCCTGCGCGTGAAGGGCAGAATAGGCGGGCGCATCACGTGTCGCGAGCCCCCGAGGAGGAGGAGGCGGGTACTCCCTCGGCTGATTTTGCATTGCTCGCTCCCGTTACAATAAATCACGACCATGTGACAGCCTGGAATTAGCATAAAAATGGGCGCGGCTCCTGTTCGTGAACCGAAGCGGAGTTCGTGAACCGAAGCATATTTTTATGAAATTTTCTGGTCGTGAACCGAGTTGTTCGTGAACCGAAGCGTTCGTGAACCGAGGTATCACTGTATACACCCCGGTGTGGCCCACGCCCCCTTCCAGAATCTTCAAGCAGGTTCCCGGAGCTTGAGGTCTCATATTCTTAGGTTTTTTCGGTAAAGTCACGTAGGTAAAAAATTAAAATTAATAAAAGTAAAATTAAAATAAAATAAAAATCACGACGTTTTGGAGGCAACACAAGCTTCCGTCTTCAGGTGGAACCGTCACAGCCACGACAGCTGTATCAGGTGAGAGAAATTCCAAGAACACAGTATTTGTATATATACTGGTTGAAGGTGGGAGGAGCCAAGGTAGGCCCTGGATATTGTTTTTGTGAGGTTCGGTGCGGCTGAAGCACGCTGTTAGGAATGAGCCTTTGTTGTGTAAACTAGGTGCGGATGATGTAAAGGTGCGTGTAAAAGGGACTGAGCCTTTTTGTTATGTAGAGATGATGCGGCTTGAGGTCTCGCTCAGACTTTGACATTCACCACCGATACGGCCCCCTTATAATTAGTCAGTACATAACTTGCACATAGACTAACACGGCCCATAGACTCAGACAGAGACCCAAAGACTCAACATCCCCCGTATAGCCTCGACGGACTGTTGGGGCAAGTGCCGTTAGCGAGCACCTCTATGCAGGCCAGAAGGGCGGCACACGAGGGGGTGGGTGGCCAGCACCACGCTCACCACACAGAGACCCACAGTTTGTTGTCCTTGTCCGATCGGCGCGGTCGGCTCCGTCGAACGTGCGGCGCTCTGCGAGCGGCTTCTCCTCACCTCGGACAGGAAGACAGAGAACTTGCACGCGTAGCAGGGGTCGTACTTGTCCACCAGGTGCAGGAGGAAGGCAAAGTCGTTGCGCACGTCCGGAATGTCCTCCACCCCCGTCTCCTGGCGCGCCTCCGCGAAGCTGTACTCCTTGAGCCTGCCGTGTCAGCGCCCCCCCCACCCCCCCCCCCAGCACAGAGAACTCAGTGCCCGCCCGTCGACCCTCGTCCCAACGCGGAAGATCTCCCACGAAGCCACCGGTAAAACGTTACGATACACGTAGCGGTGTCGCCGCCCGCGCTAACCGCATCTCCACGATCGCCGAAAAGCCCGCAGACCAAAGCCAGAAGGCTGCCGCACGGCGATCCGGTGCCACGCCACCGCTCCGCGGCAGCCCGCCGCCCCCCCCCCCATCTCACCTGCCGGTCACCACCCAGTAGAAGACGTGGGCACAGGTGAGCGCGTAGACGCACATCGTGGTGGCGTAGGCCATCCACATCACGACCATCCGACGGCGTCCGCCGGCCCTCGTTCTGCTCCGGGGGGGGCCGGTCGAGGGGCGTGGCGGCCTCGCCGGGGTCGACGAATCGGACGGAGGGCCGCGGCGGTGCCGGCGGCGGCGGAGACTCCGAAGGCAGCTTCTCCACGGCGGGGAGTTCGTCGGATCTCGGGTCGCTGCGCGCGTGGGATTGCGTGGACATTTGGCGACGCGTCATGACGCACAGACGCACAGAGACCCATAGAGACCCACAGAGACGCACAGAGACCCACAGAGACCCATCGAGACTCACAGAGACTCACAGAGAAATGTAGAGACCCACATAGACCCATAGAGACCCTAGAGACACACAGAGACCCATAGAGACTCACAGAGACTCACAGAGAACCGTAGAGACCCGTAGACACCTACAGAGACCCACAAAGATACATAAGAGTCTCACAGAAACCCTTAGAGACTCACAGAAACCCATAGAGACTCACAGAGACCTGCAGAGACCCATTGACATTCTGAGACCCACAGACCCACAGAGATCCACGAAGACCCACAGAGACCCATAGTGACTCATAGAGACCCGCAGAGACCCATCAGGACTCACAGAGACCCGTAGAGACCCATAGAGACCCACAGACCCGCAGAGACCCACAGAGACCCAGAGACCCATACAGACTCAGACACCCACATCGTGACGCACATACACACGCACACCAAGATCCCCCGTATAGCCTTAACAGACTATAGGGGCAAGTGCTGGAACGGTACACGAGGGGGTGGGTGGCCAGTACCACGCCTGGCCTGCCTTTGTCTCCCCAGTGGCGATGTTTACACACCGCACCAGGTACTCATTTGAGGCTGAGAAGACCTAGAGGAGGCCCAGAACTGGTACAGGTAGAAACAGGTTCCACACTGCCCACCAGGGATTGTTTGTCTGTCGTGCACGAATGCGCTGTCCAACCAAGTTACTACCTGCCCACTCCGAAGGAACGTGTTTCAGATAATCGTCGCTGGTGTTGGCCGTGAGCGGAAATCGAACCTGGGTCGCCGGGTTCATAGCGCAGCGTAGCGCTAACCGCTTCACCACCGCTCCCCACACACCGCCAACCGTAAGCCAAACTGGTTATGAAAAGCAGAGGGATAGCAAGATGCGTGAACGGGCTCGCTGTCCCAAAACAGAGGTCGCAACCGGGTACCCGATACCCGTACCCTACCCGATACCCGGCTACCCGTACCCGGTCGGGTACGGGTAGCCGGGTAGCCGTTTGCGACCCTGGTGCGGCCGGGTACGGGTACGGGTAGGCCGTGAGTCACTGATGAGTAACCGTTTGTCACTCATTTCGGGTAGGGTACGGGTAGGGAACGGGTACCCGTCCCCGGCCGGGTACGGGTACCCATTTGCGACCCTGGTGCGGCCGGGTACGGGTACGGGTAAGGAATCAAAACCCGTTTGCAACCTCTACCCCAAACCCACGCAGGGTCTCCCCCCCAAAAGGGGGAACTTTTTAGTTTTGTTACTTAAGGGGGCAAGGGATGACTAAGGCAGGAAGGAGGCGTGGGCCGTCTCTTCGTAGTCAGCCCCCTTCTAACCTGCAGCTCCCCACTGTGGCGGGCGGCGCTGGCGGCTGCAGCGCCGCCGCTGACGCCAACCCGTCCAGTGCGGCTTCGTGCACGGCGTGCGTGGTCCACTGCGAGTCCATGCACTTACCCAGCACGCACACAAAGTGCTCGATCTTGGAGCTCGTCTCCGGGAACCTGAACCAGAAGTTCCTGGTGGCCGTCAGGATGAGTGTGTGCAGCACCACGAGATGCGGGAAGTACTTGCTGATCCACAGCACCCGCGTTGTCGTAGCAGAACTAGTTGATCAACCGGTACTGGTACTGGTCGAAGCCAACCTGGGCGAGTGTGGGAAGGGCAAAATGAACTGGCGTGGCGGTGATGTCGCATGCCCCTCCCTTGCGGTGACAGAGCTGGCTCAAATGTGGCTTTGGCCTGATGATGCCGGTTGTAGTTACTGGCGGAACAGCACCGTACTCAAGATCGTCAACGTTGTGGCTTTGCTCTTCAACACACCGGTGTGCTGTACTAGGATATTACACGCTACACTACACTATACACTACACTATAATGTACATTACAATATACACTACACTATACATTACACTATAATGTACATTACATATACACTACACTATACACTACACTATACATTACACTATAATGTACATTACAATATACACTACACTATACACTACACTATACATTACACTATAATGTACATTACATATACACTACACTATACACTACACTATACATTACACTATAATGTACATTACACTATACACTACACTATACACTACACTATACATTACACTATACATTACACTATACACTACACTATACATTACACTATAATGTACATTACAATATATACACTATACACTACACTATACATTACACTATAATGTACATTACACTATACACTACACTATACACTACACTATACATTACACTATACACTACACTATACATTACACTATAATGTACATTACAATATACACTACACTATACACTACACTATAAATTACACTACACTATACATTACACTATACACTACACTATACACTACACTATACACTACACTATACACTACACTACACTATACATTACACTATTCCTCGGGCAATTGCCGGTGGTGCCGAGCCGGCCCGAGGGGGAATCTCACCGTGTGAGCCCTGGGGTTGGCCACGAGCGTCCTCAGGACGGTCTCGTTCCACTCCTTCAGATCCACGTCGAAGCCTCTCGGCACCGGCACGCACAGAATGCGCTCGTTCATGTTCTGGCGGAGGTGGGGCAAGTGGGTACCACGTGACCATGACGTGACGCCGTGTGGTCTCCTTAACTCAGGTTCACTTTGCGAGATTCCCGGTGTACGGGGGGAGATAACCCATATAGACCCAAGATGTGCTCTCTAGCCAGCGCTATGAGTGAGCTCGCACGTCGAGTTGGAAGCCACGACCCCCTCTGTACCAGGCGAGATAGTTAACATCTCCCGGCCACCGTGATGATGAGACACACGCGAAGTCCAAATATGCAGAAGGGGTAGGGATGGAACCCACATAGACCCAAGATGTGCTCTCTAGCCAGCGCTATGAGTGAGCTCGCACGTCGAGTTGGAACCCACGACCTCCTGCGTACCAGGCGAGGTAGTTAACATCTCCCGGCCACCGTGATGATGAGACACACGCGAAGTACAAATATGCAGAAGGGGTCGGGATGGAACCCACATAGACCCAAGATGTGCTCTCTAGCCAGCGCTATGAGTGAGCTCGCACGTTGGAACCCACGACCTCCTGCGTACCAGGCAAGGTAGTTAACATCTCCCGGCCACCGTGATGATGAGACACACGCGAAGTCCAAATATGCAGAAGGGGTAGGGATGGAACCTATGACCTCCTGCGTACCAGGCGAGGTCGTCAACATCTCAGCGATGTTATCCATAGCAAGGTGGCGACATTGATGAATGTGCGTGGGGACTGGTGCGTTGGAACAAAGCACCTGCAGCATCCCGGCAAAGATGCCGATCATGAACATGGGCACAGAGAGCATGTCGCACAACACGTCCCACCAGGGCTGAAGGATCTTGAGGTCCGGGTGACCCTCCAATGAGAAGGAGGAGGTCAGGGCTCCGACGGGAATCATGACCCGAGCCGAGACTGCACACAAGCAGACACACACACGGACACACACGCAGACACACACACACAGACACACACACACAAGCAGACACACACACGCAGAGACACACACAGAGGCGCACACACATGCAGACACACACACACAGACACACACAAGCATACACACACAAGCAGACATACAGCAGACACACACATAGGCGCACACACACACACACAAGCAGACACACACAGGCAGACACACTCACACAGACACACACACAAGCAGACACACACAGGCAGACACACTCACACAGACACACACACAAGCAGACACACACAGGCAGACACACACACGCAGACACACACAGGCAGACACACACACACAGACACACACACAAGCAGACACACACAGGCAGACACACACACACAAGCAGATACACACAGGCAGACACACACACAGACACACTCACGCAGACACACACACAAGCAGACACACAGGCAGACACACACACAAGCAGAGGCGCACATACAAGCAGACACCACACACAAGCAGACACACACAGGCAGACACACACAGACACACAGGCAGACACACACAAAGAGGCGCACACACAGACACACACAGAGACACACACAACCAAGCAGACACACACACACAAGCAGACACACACAGGCAGACACACACACAGACACACACACAAGCAGACACACACAGGCAGACACACACAAGCAGACACACAGGCAGACACACACACAGAGACACACAAGCAGACACACACACGCAGACCACACTCACACAGACACACACAGGCAAGCAGACACACACAGGCAGACACACACAGGCAGACCACACACAGCAACACACACACAGACACACACACACAAGCAGACACACACACGCAGACCACACACATCAAGCAGACACACACACACAAGCAGACACACACACGCAAGCAGACACACACCACGCAGACACACACAAGCAGACACACACACACAGGCAGACACACAGGCAGACACACACACAGACACACACAAGCAGACACACACACAGACACACACAAGCAGACACACACAGGCACACACAGGCAGACACACAGGTAGACACACACACAGGCAGACACACACACAGGCAGACACACACACACAAGCAGACGCACACACACACACACACACAGGCAGACACACACAAGCAGACACACACACGCAGACACACTTACACAGACACACACACAAGCAGACACACACAGGCAGACACACACACAAGCAGACACACACAGGCCACACACACACACACAGGCAGACACACAAGCAGACACACACACAGGCAGACACACACACAGGCGACACAACACACAAGCATAATCAACGATTTTGGGTTTAGATCGCGTTTATTTATAAATGTGTCGTAACCCTCCACCACCCGACACGGCCAATCAGTAAAAATGTATCACGTTGACAAAGACAAATAGTTCACTGCTTTAGCCCACCGGTGTGTTGAAGCAACAACATTCACAATTTGAGTACGACGTTTCGCTGGTAATTACAACCAGCATCATCGGGCAATTCGCCAGAATGGTGAGGCTCTCCTGTGTCTCCCGTTCTTATATAGAAGCAGCAGCAGGATGACGTCAACATTAACTCATTAACTCATCAGGTGCAAAGATTCAAGTGGGGAGTGATTGTAATTATATACTAGATTAGTAATCAGGCTATTGTTCCGATGCGAGTTGTAGATTAGTAATCATTTGAATGTGTTTTATTGTGATTATGCTACATTAGTAATCAGTTAGTGGTTGTTTCCCTTATAAGTATGTAATGTATCTTATTTAATAATACGCTTCCAGGCCGCACTAAGCCTGTAGCTGTCTGAGCGATTAAAGTTATTTCTGTTTCTCTCAATTTCAATCGATTCTCTAATTAGTCTTTGCCAGTAGTAACTAGTTTTACACAACACTTCCACGTTGTCAAAATCAATTGAGTGTCCCTGTTGGCATGCATGTTCTGCTACTGCCGACAGTTGTGTTTGTGATAGTTTAATATTTCTCTGGTGTTCTTTTAGTCTTACACTAACGTTACGCCCTGTCTGTCCAATATAGCATCTGCCACATACACAATTAATCCGATATACACCTTCTGTTGATAATTTAGGTAATTCGTCTTTAGTGCACGTTACTAGTTGTTGAATTTTGTGTACTGTACCAAATCTTACTGTAATGAGAGAGATTAAACATGTTAAATAAGCACTAAGACAGAATGGCTACAATAATGCTCAAATTAACAGAGCACTAAAAGCCAAATCACGATCGCAAAGCAACACTGCTGAAAGCGATCAGATTATTAAAACAATAAAAATACCATTTATCTCAGGAGTAACTGATAAATTAGCCCGTGTTTTGCAAAAGCAAAACATTACAGTAAGATTTGGTACAGTACACAAAATTCAACAACTAGTAACGTGCACTAAAGACGAATTACCTAAATTATCAACAGAAGGTGTATATCGGATTAATTGTGTATGTGGCAGATGCTATATTGGACAGACAGGGCGTAACGTTAGTGTAAGACTAAAAGAACACCAGAGAAATATTAAACTATCACAAACACAACTGTCGGCAGTAGCAGAACATGCATGCCAACAGGGACACTCAATTGATTTTGACAACGTGGAAGTGTTGTGTAAAACTAGTTACTACTGGCAAAGACTAATTAGAGAATCGATTGAAATTGAGAGAAACAGAAATAACTTTAATCGCTCAGACAGCTACAGGCTTAGTGCGGCCTGGAAGCGTATTATTAAATAAGATACATTACAATTACTTATAAGGGAAACAACCACTAACTGATTACTAATGTAGCATAATCACAATAAACACATTCCAAATGATTACTAATCTACAACTCGCATCGTAACAATAGCCTGATTACTAATCTAGTATATAATTACAATCACTCCCCCCTTGAATCTTTGCACCTGATGAGTTAATGAGTTAATGATGACGTCATCCTGCTGCTGCTCTATATAAGAACGGGAGACACAGGAGAGCCTCACCATTCTGGCGAATTGCCCGATGATGCTGGTTGTAATTACCAGCGAAACGTCGTACTCAAATTGTGAATGTTGTTGCTTCAACACACCGGTGGGCTAAAGCAGTGAACTATTTGTCTTTGTCAACGTGACACATTTTTTACTGATTGGCCATGTCGGGTGGTGGAGGGTTACGACACATTTATAAATAAACGCGATCTAAACCCAAAAATCGTTGATTATGAGAAACAGCTTGGCGGATAGTGCGATCAGAGTATCCGTTCATCCTGAGGGCCCGATGTACATGTCTTAATTCACCGGCCAGGTGGTGTTGGTCAGAAATGCCATGGGCTCTGTGGTATAGCGTTTTGATGAGAGAATTCTTTTGAGATGGGTGGTGGTGGGAATCCGGTTTCAAGTAGGAATCTGTGTGGGTGGCTTTCCTGTAGACAGAATGTCCCAAGGATCCGTCAGGCCTCCTCTCAAACAGAATATCCAAGAATGGTAGTTTACCGTCTTTCTCCACTTCCATGGTGAATCTGATGGATGGGTGTCTAGAATTGATGTGGTCCAAGAAGTGGTTCAATGCTGGGAGGCCATGTGGCCAGATGACGAAAGTGTCGTCCACATACCTCTTCCACAAGGAAGGACGCAGGGTGGATGTCTGGATGGCGTCTGATTCAAACTTTTCCATGAACATGTTGGCTATAACTGGTGACAAGGGGGAGCCCATAGGGGTACCCTCATTCTGTTTGTAGAAGGTGCTATTCCAGGTAAAATAAGTGTTGGTGAGGCAATGCCTAACCAGCGCAGGTAATAATCTTTAGAAACACACTGATTGCAGTAAAAAAAATTCACAAGAATGAAAGTCACTGTCATGAAAAACAACAAATTATAAATTGCAATTTAAGGCATTGCTACATACCAAGGCTTTGCTCTGCTGTATTAAATTGCACCGCAGAATTGTGAGGATCATATTCTTTCCAAGCTCCTCTTTCCCAGGTAGGTCTCTCTCCCACCAAGACTCGCACAGGTTTATGACCGTGTTTCTTAGGTTAGGGTGAGCATCGGTGAAAAGTGGCAACAGGGCTGTCAACAGGGTGAGAAAAACGGTAGAGTAGATTGGAACTAATTATCACCACAGGAACATATATATCTTGTATTGTTGCCTGATGTAACCACCTGGAAGGCATTTTTTATACAGGGTGACAAAAAAGTCTGGACAAATAGGGTTATTTCATTTATTTTAGCACTGGCATTAAAACATTTAAACAGTTTATTCTTTAAGTTAATATTTATCTATTATCATTATTCATATATATTTGTATTCTTCCTGTGGGTTCACCACAATCCCGTTGTTTACAAAATTCGACCAAGAACCCTGAATGAATTTAGACAAAACGTAATTTAGGAATGGTCAAAGATTACACGTGAATCTAAAAAAAGTCCAAAAATAACTTCTACAGAGAATTCATGTGTACATTCATGTTAATGGAAGTCAGTTTGAAAATTGTTAAAATAAGATAACCCATTCAGTCTTGACCTATGGGCCACTCTGTATATTCAGCATAACAATAATTTGTAGGCTCAATTATTAAATAAACTATTGCCAATATTTGGTAATCTACCCTATACAGTACTTGAAATCAATATATCATCCAGTGCGCATGCATAACATTTCCCAGTGCAACATCAAGAAGTATTTTATTTTGCAGATATTTATGAGATGAACATACTGCAATATTGTTCATTGGGATATGCAGCTCTAAACAGTGAACTGTTATAAATTATCCAAGTCAGAGAAATGTGGCAAATAACTACTTTATGTATCTTGAATGAGATTTTCAGCAGATACTTATTAACTTTTTGTTCTCGTTCTCCTACTATACATACTCACGAACTTTTACTCTTTCCAATTATAAAAAACTGAGAAGTCGTGGAAACAGATATAGTCAATAATTTATCAATTTGTATCAATTATTCATAGACGTCACCCTGCCTCTTTACCATGTAGAATGATAGCCGACTCCAAAATGTCTTCTATCACCTCCGCACTGACAGTTTTCACAGCCACAGATAGCACTGTGGCTACAGCCGTCACAACAGCTACAGTTGACTCCTGGATGCAAACACATAATGATGGGAGCAGGTGTCACATTTTAACCACACAACTCCTAACATCAACAATCAAATAACAAGTGCCATCCATTGTCAGAGTTAATATATCACAGTATTTTTAGTGAACGTGTATAAAACCAGTTGAAATTTTTTTCATGTCTTTGCATGCTTACCACAATCATTCATACTCTTTAAAACGTGTTTTTATCTACAGTACTCAGAATATATGACAAGCAACTATAATTTAATTAAATGTTTTGGGTATATTAATACAGGTAAATCAGACGAATACAGAATTTTTAATTGTCTGGTAGCTCATGGGCTGATGCAGTAAAATTGACAAAACAATGAGCCAGCAAAGCTGAGATTCTTGGTTCAGGTCCAAGATAAAATAAGGCTTGCAAGTATAAGAAGCCTTAATGATCTCAGCCAGACCACCAATGGGTGTAATTTTCTGTTTACAATCATACTGAGATATTTGGTTGATAGGCATTCGATGAATCACGTTAAAATGTACCATGAAAGAGTAAAAGGACAGAATTTAGATGTATAGTACCGATCCCGTGGCTTCTGTCTCCATGTCGTCGTGTTGCGGTGGGTCAGGGTTCCATTGCTCAGCGGGGCAACGCAGCAGGCTCTCAGTGAGTATCTTGC